ATATATATATATATATATATATATGCATATATATATATATCTTTTATTAAACTGCACTGTTTTGTTTAGTCAAGGTAAATAAGTAATTATGTATTTGAATAACTTGGCGTGTCTTGAGTGTTGTGGTATGAAAAGCATTGTGGTCTTTCTACACTAATGAAGTGCAAATAAAATTTTGTATTTATGAATGACAGTTGAATTGTGATATTTATGCAATTATTGGTTGTATATATAACAGTGTTCTTCATGAACTCCACAGATTAATCTTTTGAGTGTCTTAGATAGGAAAAGTATAGTTTCCTTCACTGTGGAAAGCAGTTCGGTACTTTTTCAGAGGGTTAAACATAAAACTACCATGATCCAGCAATTCTAGGTATATACTCAGGATGGAAAGCAGCAGAGACTCCAAGAGAGACTTGTACACATAGCATTATTCATGGTAGCCAAAAGGTGGAAACAACCCAGATGGCTGTTGACAGAATAATGGATAATCAAAATGTAGTCATTATAAATTGCCATTGTGTACTTGCACTGGCGAACAGACAGCTCAGTAAGGTTTCAAAACCTTGGTATATCAGTGTCTCACAGCTGTGTTCCTGTTAATGTGTGGCGGTATCTTGCTGAGTGGTGTTCATTATTATGTGTTTTTGTGTGCTGTGGCAAGAATGTTGGAGCATGAATTAGAGCAACAGGTGTTACATTTTTTGTTAAACTTGGCAAGAGTGGAAGTGAAACTAAGGACATGTTAGTCTGAGTTTATGGAAATAATGCCATAAAGAAAATGGCAGTGTACAAATAAACATTTTTCTGAGGGGAGAGAAAGTGTCACTGATGAAGAGAGCTCAGGTTGACCGATAGTGAGCAGCACTGACAAAAATAAGACAAAAATTCATTGAACTGTGCATCAAAATTATCGGCTGACTATGAGGAGCATAGCAGATCAGTTAAACATCAGTAGAGAAACAGGAAAATCTTAACTGAAAATCTTGGCATGAGAAAGGTGTGTGCAGAAACGGTCCTGAAGGAGCTCCCAATGAACAAAAGCAGAGAAGAGTTGAATTGCGCCAAGACCTTTGGAGAGGTAAGACAATGTTTTGGGTCTTGTTATCACAGGTGATGAAACATGAGTGTACCAGTATGACCCTGAAACAAAAGTGTCAGAGGGTACAATGAATGTCAGCCAGTTCTCCACCACCAAAAAAACTGTCCAAATCGAGTTAAAACAGTGTTGCTAACCTTTTTTGATATCAGAGGCACTATTGACTATGAATTTGTACCAGTTAGACAGTTAACCTAGTTGACTATTTGCAAGTGCTAAAAAGGCTGCATGAAAAAGTTGGAAGAAAACGACCTGAACTTTTCAACAACTCATGGCTCTTGCATCATGACAATGCACCAGTTCTCACAGCACTATCTGTGAGGGAGTTTTTAGCCAATAAACAAATAACTGTATTGGAACACCCTTTCTGCTCACCTGAATTACTTAGAAGGGTGGACTAGGTTCTGATGTCAGTGCCCAGCTTCCCAAAGCAGCACCTCAGAGGTGACCATGGTGATATTTAGCAGTGGGGTGTGTAGCACTTTTCCTGGGTGAGTTTGCCGACTTAATTGTCTTTATTCAGCCTTAAAGAGGAAGGAAATCCTGACACGTTCTACAGATACGGATGAATCTTGAAGGTGTTATGGCAGTTAAGTAAGTTTCATGAACATGAGGTATCCTTCATACAGAGTAGTCAGATTTGTAGAGACAGAAAGTGGAATGATGGTTGCCCTGGAAGAGTTGAGAGTTGTTGTTTAATGGGTACAGAGTTTGAGTCTGGGGTGATGGGAACATTCTGGAGATGGACATTCTGCTGGGCTGCTGTCACCACCATCTGGTGGTGCACAGTCCAGTGGCATTAGAATGCATTCACACTCCAATAGCAGTGGCAGCCCCACAGTGTGAATGCCGTCTAATGCCACTGGACTGTGCACTTCACGGTGCATGTGTGTGTATGTAGCGTCCTCAAGAAAAGGTTTTTATTTAAGGTACTTTCGTCACTCATGATTGATAATGGATGGTGCCAGTTACCCATTCTCTCACCTCCGGGCCTGCTCGTCTGTAGTCTGTTCTGTGGTGCTTGGGCCGGGACTCTAAAATACATTTGCCAAACCTTGCTCTTCCTGTTTAAGATCTGCTGGTGGGAGAAACTCAAGGAAGTCAGGAAGAGGGAGAAGGGGCCCACTTGCTGTTCTCAGATTCCCATCAGTCTCCCCACAGTTAACAACAGTCGCTGCCCCCCCATCAGAGGCGCCGAGGTGCATTTGAACTTGTCAGGCTCCTGCTTGGGGGCCACCCCAGCACCTGCTTTGCTGTATCCTCAGCGGTCCACATGCCCAGCAGGTCCTGCCCTCCCAGTCTGAGCCCCTTCCTCAGAAGCTCAGGACCAGCCTTGTAGGGGTCCTGCCTTTGAGCACTGAAGTTGTGGCAACACCTCCTTTTTTTGTTCCCCTGGCTCTGAGGGTAGTAGCTACTCACTCCAGTTATTAATTGCTAAATTCTCTTTCTGTTGGTTTTATTTTAATAACTGTAGCTAGTTCCCTGTGTTAAAATCCCTGTTTAGAAATACCTTACTTTGTGTCTATCTTCCTAACAGCCTGGTGCCAGGAGTGATCTCAGGAAACAGAGCCTTAAAGATGAGTTTAAGAAAACCAGTTTTGTTCTGGGCATTTGTGGCTCATTCAGCCATCTGTGGTCTGTGTTACATTGACAGCTTAATCTAGTTCTTCCATTAGTGTCTTCCATCAGCTATAGTGTTAACAAAAATACATTCTCAAGTTAGTAGCGTAGTTTAGGGAGTAAAGGTCGGAAATTGTGGGAGGTCCTAGTGTGGTTTGCAGCTCGAGTTTGATTTTGTTCTTTGGGTTTTCCACCATACTTTTGGGTTTTCCTCCACTGAGCACGGTTTTGTGAGAGCAGGCCTGGGATGGAGCTCTGTCTACACTCTCTGTCTCCATAGGGGACTGCTGTTCTTTTTTTTTTTTTTTTTTTGAGACAGAGCCTCAAGCTGTCCCCCTGGGTAGAGGGCCGTGGCATTACAGCTCACAGCAACCTCCAACTC